TAAACCATGCCTATGCCCCCAAAAAGCCTACCTTTCTATTCTCAGGAGTGGTATATAGAAGCCAGAATAGAGAAACCCTAAAGGGTAGGATTTGTCAGACTTTGGGTAAGTAGCCCGGCGCACTGAGCCCATAAAGCTGCTGTTTTGAAAGGGCCCCAAGTATTCTGAGAGAGTGGACGGGGGAACATTAAACTTTTTGGCCTTATATATTAGCTCTAGCTTAGAAAGTTTGAACTTTTTGGGGCCCGGTTGTTCAAGAAGAGAGTTGTGGGGGATACTTGGAGGTTCATGGGTAGTTACAATTGGGGTTACAATCGGGATAACTGTGGTTATAACCTGCATTGGGGGACTTATAACTCCATTTATAACTACCCATGAACCTCCAAGTACTGCCCCAAATGATAATTAGGTTCTAGTAGATGCGAGTAATTATAGAAACCCCAAGTAGTCCTACAGGGCATACTTCCCCAAGTCATACTTAGGACCGTTTTAGGGTCTAGGGTTTGAAATAGCTATTTCTAATACTGAAACCCTACATACGGCTATATAGGTACTTTGGCCCCTGTGAAAACCTTACAATAGTTCCGCCGAGATCACAACTTGGCGGTGCGGCCGCTGCAGCATCCTTTGCTCCTTGGATTCCTCCTATACTTGAAGGATCAGGGGACTTGGTGTATCTAGAGTTGTTATGTGTATTTAACTATAACCTCGTTTAGAGTATACGTATAAACTTGCTTACTAAGTCGCTTGGTCCTTCAAGTAGGGTCTTTGAGAGTTTGTCATATGGGCTTCTGATACAGGGTTCAGAGTTTGAGGGCTTGCGGCTTTTGGTTTGATAGGAATGTTGATTAAGCCTACGGCTCCATGGGCTCATGTATTTATGGTTTTAAGGACCATGCTGTGTAAGTCTTTCGGGCTATTGGCTTCTGATACAGGGTTCAGAGTTTGAGGGCTTGCGGCTTTTGGTTTGATAGGAATGTTGATTAACCCTACGGCTCCATGGGCTCATGTATTTATGGTTTTACGGACCATACTGTGTAAGACTTTCGGGCCATTGCGAGCCTTAGGGACAAGGTTTTATTGCTTGTGAGAAGGTTTGTGGTAAGGGCTTCAGTCATACCGTTTTCATGCCAGCTAAACTAGATTGCATAGGTTCTTATTACGGTGTTGGTGTGTTTTGGAGTTCAAGGTTGATAGGGCCCTAGCATGATTCCCAAGCCTTTCACACAGCGTTCAGAAACTACAAGCAGCCACAAGGCCTAACACCCTAGAGCTCCAAATCTTCAGCCCTCTCGCCTATTATAGGGGCTTAAATAGTTACCTAAACTACTTTGGTGGTTTTTTTTTTAATATTTATAGTATGATATGTATAATGGGCCCCAAAACCCCTATTCTAAATATTGAGGCCCCCATATTAACTCAGCATCCGGATTTCCGCTGGGCTGCGCAAGAACACAGCGCCCGAGGCGCCGATAGGCCTTAGCCGCGAGGGTCTAGGGTCTCAGAGTTAATCCTAACAGCTGACGCGCAAACCCTGCTGAGATGTTCAGGTTATCTAGTGGTAAGCAGGTATCTGGGCGTGATATAGCATGATAATTACCTTGGTTATTGGGTTGTGGGACAACAACACCATCATCTAGTGACTACTAGTCCTGCTCCTACTTCTGCTGCTGCTGCTGCGGCTACGACTACTGCCACTACAATTGCATGCTGCCCCTGCTGCTGCTACCGCTATGGTTTCAAGCGCAACCACTGCCAGTTTGCCACTGCCGCTACTGCTACTGCAGCACCGACATCGACGAAGGCTGTTGGATGATGACATGGATCCTGCTGGTTTCTGGCTGCCGGGTTTCACAGGCACCGTCCGAGAGAGTATTGGTGTTTGGGAATTTGGGCTTGGGACGTATTGACAATGTAGATTTGGGGCTAAAGTTTTGGTGTTTGGGGCTGCCGGGCAGTGCTACAATCCCCCCCCAAAAAAACCACACCCTCAATCCCGAAGCCAAACTCTGAAAGTCCATAAACCCAAAGGGGAGTAATGTTCAGTTCCGTGTCCCTAGCTGGTTCAAGAATCTAATCATCCTAATCCAACACTGCACGCCTCTGTATCATGTGGGGTTTTCCGAAAATCGGGGACCCTAATATGGTACCCCAAATAGTAGGATCCTTATTACAAGGACCCCAAAATAAGGTACCCCTAATTTTCGAAAACTCCCATGTGATCATGAGGAAGCTGGATCTTTCGAGGTGAATGTTAGCCAAGGCTTCCAAGGACCTTATAGCACGTGCCCCAGACCCGTTAAGGAACCCTTAAAGGAATGCTTGAAGGTACCCTTAAAGGAGACCTTAAAGCAACCTTTAAGGACCCAATATTAAGTTTCCTGCAAACATAGAGATAAGCTACTGAATTAACGGCTATGGTCCGAACAGCTTCCAGGCAAACTAAGTCTAAGCCATCCTCGTATGTAGGGGCCTGAACAAGTACTGATTCTATTCCTTAGTGCCCGTTCATGTACTTGTAGTACCTCCAAAATCCTGTTCCAATGATTTTGGCCTTGCATGAACGGGTTTTGGATGATTTTGGAGTTCAGGGTTGAGGATCTGGGGTTCCGGGGGCTCGTGGGTGATGGACTATAAACCTGAATCCCACACACCCCAGACTCTGAGGCTCTGTGTCTGTGGATGGATGGCATGGAAAAGTAAAGGGTAGGTTGACTAAGTACTTCGGGCCAAAAGAGCCGGAAATGGTTCCGCTGGCCCCGAATTCCCAGACCCTGAAGTTGAGTTCTTATGGTCACAGGCTGGCACCGCAACAATCTCGCAGCGGGCTGCCACCGCGGATGGCGTGTACGTAAGATTGCCGGCGTGGCGGGTGGGCAGACGGACCCCGGCAAAGTAAATCTAGGCAGGCTATCCAGTAGTACCTTTCGAGTCTCCTTACTGAAGCTGCCTGTCTAAGGCGATACGAACAAATGATCGAGGAACCTAAACAGGTTGAAAGGCATTCAGATTTTTCAAGGCTGTACCTAGGAAGGTGTATGAGTCTCTATAGGATGCTTAAGGCTTATGTCAAGGCTTACGTGCTTTTCAGGCAGACCTCAAGGCTTTCATTGCTGATTTTGTAAGGGTTTCCGATGGCCATGCCATCCGAGCATCATGGGGCCATGTTCAGCCTCGCAGCGATCTAAATTTTACGCCAGCGTACAATCCCAAAGGGTCCATGTACTCATATAGTATACACAGTGGCCTTAATGAAGTCCCTATTTGGGCACTTTGGGGCCCATGTACCTCTATATGGGTACATGGACCCTTAGGGAATGTGATGGGGTACGGCTGGGCTTAGGAAGCTCCGGGCCCCAAAGCCTTAAGGCTCCACGCCTAATTTCAGGGGGTGGGGGTTTAGGATTCGGCATGTTCAGAGGGAATGGATATCGTTCTACCCCGAGGCCCCAAAGTAGTTCCTTTTCGGGGTTCATATTTACAACGCTATAAGGTAATCCCCCAAAAGGAACTACTTTGGGGCCTACGGGTAGTGTGCCTTGGGTACAAATGGGAGTTTGCGAAAATAGGGGATCACAGTTCAGTACCCTGAATAAAAAGATATGTTTATTATAAGGACCCCAAAATAAGGTACCCCTAACTTTCGGAAACCCCCTAACAAAAGAGGACCAAAGCCTGCCTAAACCCTAAACCCTAAGCCTTGGGTACAAAAGAGGACCTGACCTTCTTCAACAACTCGGCGCACGCAAGTGGCTTCGGCTGGCACCTGAAGCCGCAGCCTTAGTGCTCTGAGGGCTTTTACAGTGTCATAGGAGGCCAAAAGGGTTTTAGCCTATGGGGGTTTAGCCGGGAGTAGGGTTCCCATAGTCGGGTTCAGATTATGGAATCCCTACCCCAAGAATCTTAAACCCCCCTTTCGGCCTCCCATCACAGGGCCCCTTAAAGCAACCCTAAACCCCAGAAGGTCGAGCGGCCTTCACCGGTTTTGCTATAGTCTCCTTAGGAACTATTTTTAAAAATTTGTGTTCAGTTAAAACACAAGAGAATATTAAACATACTATTCTTATTATGGTTCGAAGGGTATAGTTTGGGGTTACTACTATACAATTTCCATGCACTTGTTCCCTAGTATCATTGAACAAGTAAGTCTGATTGTATACAAGGTTGCAGGGCTACCCGTTGGTAATCTCTGACTCACAGGCTCGAACTCGGTGATCAGTACCCTAAGGCCTTAGCCCTAAAATCTTATCAGAGCCGAAGGTCAAACAAGCACCTTCAAAAGCCTAGGCCCTTAACCCTAAACCCGCAACCCTAAAACCGTTAACCCCGAACAGTGAAACCCTTAACCCTAAGACGCTAAAGCGCTATAAACCCTTCCAAACCCATGAGTCTGAGTCCTTTGAGCCTTTGGGGTCAGTCATCCGTGGAAAAGCTTTGAGGCCACCGCATGCACCGCCCACGCTGAACGTCTTTCAGAACTTCACCGCTTTCCGGCATCTCGGCTGTTGGTTGCCCAGAGAGCCCAGTACCCCCTAACTCAGGGATGCTGATGTATAACTCAAATCACAATATGAAGCCCTATATAATTTAAGCCGTATTCGTTAATTAAGGGGTATTGGGTGATTGAGCTTGAAGCTAGGGAGGGATATTTCCAGATGCTGACTTTCCTATATATACATATATATATATATATATATGTGGTAATATATATATCTATATATATATATATGGTTATATATATATATATATAGTTATATATACATATTCTGGCCGTGGCCGCTCCTGTAGGAGATGCTTCGCTGAGAGGTTTGCGCCTCCTCTGTAGTTGCAAAGACTCTTACTGCCGTTATTGTTCTGTCAACTTTCTGATGTCAGTGTCTTACGTGGGTTGCTCAAACGATGCCCGGGCTTAGTGCTTTTTGAAGTGATCGGGGTGACTGGCGGCCCATCCCCTAAACCTGAAACCCTTATCCCCAACACTGGCAAGGTGTGACACGGGCATGTTCTACTATGGGACGGGGAACATCCTGCACGATGACCACCGCTTCATCGAGTGCGGCACGGGCCACTTCATGAACCACCTTAGCCGCTTGCTGATGACTAATCCAGAGTGTTCATATATCAATCATCATAGAATAATTATAGGGGCCTAGGTAAATAGCAATACTACTATTGTGGGGGTTCCTAATCATGACTATAGTATAATCGGCCCCAAAACCCAATTCTAATAAGTAAGGCCCCTAGATATCCTGATTCGGGTTTTGGGGACGTAGTTCCATACCATACAGTAGTAGTCGTAGTGCATATAGCCACGGACTTTCCGGGTAGCACCCACCAACTATTCGACAAGTCCTTTCCGCCTAGCCCTGGACCCTGAAACATGGGAGCTGGAACCATCTCAAACTGAAGTACTGTATGCAGACCTCAGATGTACTTGATGAGTCGGACAACATGATGCGCGCAAAGGGTGTAGGGTTCCACGGTTCGTTGTTAAGGTTTAGGGTTTGAGGGGTATTTTCAGGGTTTAGGGTGAAAGATAACATGGCAGAAGCTAAAGGTATAATTTTTCAGCCAGGAGGTGTGAGGTTCTTACCCTCAAGCCTGACACGGTGCTGGCGATGCTGAACGGTTCAGAGTTGAAGGTGAGAAGGTTTTGGGCGTAAAACCGTAATATAGGTTTGGGCCCCAAATAATTACCAAGATTATGCTGGGGTTTCTTATTCTTATAAGAGTATAGTATAATGGGTCCCAGAACCATGTTCCAATTACTAAAGGGTACTCCAGAAAGTTGGAATATGGTTTCAGGGTAGGAAACCTTATAATTTACCATAAAGGGCTTAGGATAATCATATTCCACCTTTCTGGCTTTTACTATAAGGCCCCTACATGAACACCCCAAAGCCTGGTCTTACGCCAGGCCTCAGGGCTCGTTATTCCGCACTTATCGGGGAGCTATGGCCTATAGTAGTAGAGTAGGTAACCTTCAAGGGATCTATAAGGGATCTATAGGCTTAGGGTTTAGGGGATTCTAATGCCCTTTACAACTAACCTAGTAGTAGAGTAGGTAACCTTTAACCTTTTTTGGGTAGTATATAGTCCTTATATAATCCCTATATGACCAAAAGGGTTAACCTTTAGTTCCCTTTGATACCCGACAAGTCGGATGATCTCTCAGCCAATATCCAGCCGACAACTCCTGCCATACTCGGCCACGCACAGCACGAGAAAATTAGCATGATACCATCTACAGCCGAACGAATGTCAGCTGCGTACTTCCTGCTAGAGTCGCAAAGCCAGAACCACTCTGAATTCTTTAGGCGCGTGCCGTTCTAAGTGAGGAGTCCACTCAAGGCTTCAGGGTTTAGGGTTTCTGCGCTTTGAGCCGCAGCCCACGGCGATTGGCCACACATTTTCTGAAGCTCGAACGCCAGCCGGTCAAAGAACCTCAGAAACCCTAAAACCTATGAATCGAACTTCCAAAGAAGCTGAAGGTCCATAGAAGCGCACTGAATTCAGCAGGTAATGGGCTGCATACGCCTCCCTTCTACCACAATCTCGTTCTTGTCGGCAATATCGCGCCGGAGGCTACGACTGCCAGGAGCAAGCCAGGGTTCAGGGTTTGGGGCTTATGGGGTTTAGGGTTCAGGGGTTTGGGGTCAAGAGGGGTTTTAGGGAGGCTCTCCAGGAACTTTTACCATTCAGCTGGGGTCTCCTGGATAGGCTCATTCTCAACGGGATGCTGTGCAGGTTGTCGGTTTTCGGGTCCATGGTGGAGGTTTCGGATCTAGGATAATTCTAGGGTTTGGGTTTACAGTGTCCATGGCTTGGTATTTGTTTACGGGTTGGGCTTTTGTTCGGGGTGGACTTAAACAGGATCAGGGGACGTGGCAAGTGGGGTTACAAGCATGGCAACGATGCTCCCACTTGCCATCTTTAAGGCACCTAGATGGGAGTTTCCGAACATTCGGGCTACCTTAGTTTGGGGTCCTTATCGTAAGGATCCTACTATTTTGGTGTACTATACTAGGGTCCCCTATTTTCAGGAAGTTTTGGGTCCTTATCATAAGGATCCCACTTACTATACTAGGGTCCCCTATTTTCGGCAACTCCCATATCCTTGCTTAGGAAGTCGCCCGAGCCTCACAGTACAGGGGTTTTGGGGTGTTACTTGAAGGCTCATTGGTAGTTAAAATACTGTTGATGATCTTAATCCTGCATGACCTTAAGGACTCTAGACTATGTGAATTATGGTACATTCCTTGTTCTGGGTAATGCAGGATTTATATCATCAACCGTGGGGTATATAAGTCCCCAAATATAGGCTATCCATATCTAGTTATCCTACTTACAACCCTACTTATAGCTACCCATGAACCTCCAAGTCCAAACCCCTGATAGGCCCGAATATAGAAACTTACAAACCCTACCCATGGCCCCAAAGTAGTTCGTTTTTGGGCTTACCTTATAGGGTTCTAAATATGAACCCCAGAAAGGAACTAATTTGGGGCCTTAGGGTACTTATAGCTTCCCACGAACCTCCATGCAGGGTTGGTGGTTTCGAACGCAATGGCTGCAGTCGTCAGGAGCGGTTTGGGCATCAGGGGTCCGAAAGACAACGAGCACCTGGACTAGTTTTTTGTTGAAGGAGGGGGGTGGGTGGTGCTTAAGTTGTTTCTTTGTTGCTGCGCCGGTGAGAGTGTTGGCTTTGAGTTTTTGGTCCCTGGGCTCAGCCTGACACTAGTTCATGCGTTTTAGGTTTGGCTTCGGACTTTAAGGGGTAGTCGTGTAGGGTGGTATGGATTGGGCTTCAAGGCCTTGTGTGGCCTTGGTCTCCGTTCCGGTCATGATTTTTTTATCAATTGGTGCAGCTCAAGAAGGAATCCATGGCAAAAGCCTAGCATGTACGTTTTTGGCGGATTTCGTGGGCTTGAATTGGAGCTGCAGCACATCTTAGGTAGAATAGGGCCTAGTTCAAAGGCATTGCAAGGATGGGATTATTGATCCTCGTGTGGTGCCTAATGAGGGGTTCGAAGTACGGAAATGCAAGTTAACAGCACTAACAGCTTTAGCGGCGAAATAAGTTAGTACTACAGGTAGCCATAGTCCACATACCCCGAAGCAAAATCTGTTTCCCGAGGCCCTTGTTCTATCCTCATACTCGTAAGCTATACAGTCCTCCTGGTAGTATAGGGCCCTTGAGACTTACTCAGGGCTCCTTCTGGCCACAAGAACTACAGTAGTAAACTACGCACCAGGACTTCGTAGTTACTAACGTCATTACTATCATTACCACGGTCTTCGGTTTTTTTGGTACAAAGCGGCGATTCTTCTGGTTCTTTTTTATTCAAGGCACTACATTGGCCAAAAGCTCTAAGCTCACGGATCCCCTGGCCCCGTTCAAAGCCCCGGAGCACTACTTGGAGGTTCATGGGTAGTTATAACAAGTGGTTGATAGTGTCAGAATATATAGGATATCACTAGAGTTATCCTACCACTCCGGAATGCCCGGGTACTCCGGAATGTCCGGGTACATCTAAGAATCCCCGCAAAGCTCTCCTGAACTAGTTCTGTGACTAGAGAGTAGTCATTATAGCCAGTCAGATAGCTTAAGCTTAAACTACCTGCGTTGGTTCAGGTATTGTCGAGTAGCGACATGATTATTCTTTCGTGCGGCTACCAGGGGCTCTTCCGGATCCGAGATACCAATACTGTTGATGATATAAATCCTGCATTACCTTAATTAAGGACCCTAGACTATGGGAATTGTGGTATATTCCGATATTATGTTCCCTATTATGGGTGATGCAGGATTTCTATCATCAACCGTACTTTAGGGGCCTTGATGGTTACTTAGTAGCATCATGTCATTGTGCCACGCGCTCCTTCTTATAGTCATGGTTACGATGCTCCCTAACATCTGTTCCAGTTGTTTAAGGCACGCATCTTGCGCGAAACGTAGTGGACTCTCCGGGGTTAAAGGCTTCAAGTCAAAAGAGATTTACCCTATGACTCCAAGGACCTTGTAGTTAGGGCCTTGGACCCCGTATGGACCCAAAGAAAAGGTCCCTGGAGGCCGAGGGTTACAAAAGAAAGCCCCACACCCTAAATCCTAAACCCTGAATCCTAAATCCTAAACCCTGAATCCTAAACCCTGAATCCTAAACCCTAAAAACCCTAAATCCTAACCCCTAAGCCCTGAAACCCTAAATCCTAAACCTTAACCCTCTGAGCAAGGTACTTCTTCGTCTCAGGTCTCAAAGCGATCAACTACTTCGAGTCTCCTGTACTCAGAGGCTGGATTCTATCAAAGGGGAAAAGGAGGGACCCTTAATTTAGGGCTCTTAGGGTTCCTTTAAAGGGATCTATAAGGGTTTAGGGTTTAGGGGAAAAGGAGGGACCCTTAATGGGGACCCCTAGCCTATAATGGGCTATACACTGGCTATATTATGGGTATATACCTAGGGGTCCTTATTAGGGGTCCCTCCTTTTACCCTTTGATTCTAATTGTCCTCAAACCTCAGGAAGAAGAGTTTAGGGGTTTAGGGCTTAGGGTAGGGAGTAGTGGTCTTGCGTGTCGGGTTTTGGGGCTCACGGTTTAGGTTGAGGGCTTAGGTTACAGGGTTCAGGATTCGATACCCTAACATCCCAGCACCATAACTAAACCTTCGCGCGGGATGAATCCGGCTGGCACATTTATGACCTCTTCGGTTTAATGATTGCGTAGGTGAACTGAAGCATAGGAATTTTCACGGGCAGCTGGAGACGCAACACTGCAAAAAGATAACACGTTACCCGATAGCTTCTCCCACAACGTCGCACTCTGCAACTGGCGACAAGCAAGGTCAGGGTCTGACACTTGAGCTTCATAGCTCCGCATAGACCGCTTGGCTCTCAAAGCATAGTGTCACAATATTGCTTGACTTCCCGAGGTTTCGGAATATGCTATGTGTATACAACACATACATATACATAGGTATGTATGTACGTACGTATGTATGTATGTTTCTTTGTATGTATGTGCGTATGTCGGTGTGTATAGTGAAAGGGGACCCGAACCACAAGCCTTGTCTAATGCTCCGAAGTCCGAAGCTTGAACCTTCAGGGTTTAGGGTTTAGGGTTAGGGTGTAGTTTTATAGGTGTATAGGGTTATAGGGTTTGGGGTTGGGGTGTAGTTTATAGGTGTATAGGGTTTGGGGAGTTCAGGGTTTAAGTAAAGGCTTTAAGGGCTCCTCGCCAAACCTATGTAGCCAAAACTACAGAGGAGTAGAATCCCAGAGAGAACCCTATCAGCATACTGTTGCTAAACATTTTGACCTCCGATATCGGCACATTTTGCTGCAATCCGACTCCTAAGTCTAACATCCACATCCCCTAGTTCATGCTCTTTCCTTCAAAGGCTGCTTCGAGACGACCTGCACCATGCGCTTTGAGCGAGCCACGCGTCTTGGCTCCCTGCGAAGGGATTTTGTCCAGCATTTTCCTTGTCTTCACTTTCAACCTCAACCCCTAAACGCATAAGGCCCAAACCCATAAGCCCTATGTTATACCCTAACCCCTAAACCCTAGAATCTAAGCCCTAAGCCCTCATCCTTGTCGAGCTTCCTTGATCCACTCTCAACAATTTGAACCCCAAGCGTTCCCAAAGGCTGCAAAAGCACCAGACCCCTTTAGAAGCCTCTTTTCCCGAAGGGTCCCAGCTATTGCTATGGTGGATACTTAGATACTTCGCCAAATTCTAGTCGTAATTCTTGAATTCTTAAGCGAGAAACCCTACATGTTACTATACAGGCACTTGAGGCCTGAGAAAAACTGACAATGAACCCTGAACCCGAACCCACTAAGCCCTGAAGCCCAGACCCTAAACCCTTCTAAACCCTTATAGACCCTATAAACATCCTATATAAACTCTACTCACATCTTATATAAAGACCTTATATAGACCTTATATACGTCCCATAACCCTCGACCCAGACCCTGGAGGTGGTGGAACTCCACGCAACGCACGTGGAGCACTCCTCGACAGTCTGGGAGACTAGGATCTAAGAGGCTGAGGCCTTCGAATTTGGGATTTGAGGCTTAAGGGTTTAGGGTTTAGACTAAGAGGTGGAGGACTACGGTGTTTAGGCATTTGAGGGTTCAGAGTTTACAGATTTTATGCCATCGGTGTTGCGCTTTAAGCCTTCAGGTCTTTTTCGGCTCAGACGTTGTGGCCTCGGGTTATCGGGCTTTGTAAAGGAACCCTAAAACCTAAACCCTAAACAAATGAAACAAGCTTAAACCAGCAAAGCACAAGGATCTTCTGGGATCTCGATGGCACCCTCACGGGATATCCCAATGGCTTCGTGTCCCTGGACTACGAATACAACCATTTCCCAGGCCGAGCTACCGAAAGTCCAACTTTCGGTTGAAATTTTCGCGAATTTGCGGCTTACGGTGTACGGATTTCGCGGCTGAGTCGGTGTAGATTACATAGACAACATTGACATAGGATTATTCATGGGTTTTCGTTGAAGCCTTACAAGCATTTTTGGTTTTGGGCCTGAAAAACGCGAGGTTTAGGGGTCACACCTCCTGAAGTTGAGTTTCTGGTATATAGGATTCAGATTTCGTGCTGTTTCGCAGCAGTGGCTTAGGCTCTAGTCTCTACGTCGGAGAACAGGGAGTCCGCAGTGTAGTGTGGTTTTGCTATTAGTAAAGACTCCTGATGACACGCCATTCCACTGGGGCGCAGTAAAGTGTTGGAATATGAATGATTCTATCGTTTGATTAATCGCGGGTCTAGCTCGCATTCTGCTATTGTGTGTCCTGGCGGTGGTGACGTTGTCGCAGTTGTCATGGTACAGTAGTTCTTGGAGTATATACCTCCAGGATTGCTGCTGCGGAACATGGTGAGCATAGATTCACAACCATGCTTCTTGCCAACAACTGTCCGAATTTGATTATGCTTGTCTTTACCGGAATGAAGGGCTGGGCATCGTTTGAGGCTTCTAGTTTCTGCCGGTTGGTCCCAAGACCATATTTAACAATATTTATCCTTTTTCAGTTACTTTGCGCATGGGTCGGTAATCGCGAACCTCGGTGGAAATCATCGCACATTCCGAGTTCCCGAAATAAGAAACCCTGAAACCCTAAACCCCAAACGAACGCCTGATCTTTTACCATGCCGAGCAAATGAAGGCCTAAGCCAGTCGTAACTCCAGAATCCTTGCTACAGGTACTGCAGGGGCCGTATTTATCGGGCTCCGTATTATGACCATAATATACTACACCCCCAAACCCTATTGTAATTATAATTACTGAGGCCCCTACATTACATTAGTGCCGTTGATGGTATGGGTTAGGGTTTCTTGATCAGGTTCCTACACTAGGGCTAGTACGATTCAGGTTTTCGGGCCTTGCTCCCTGCGCGGGCATCAAAGAAGCCCATGGTTCCAAACTGTCTGAATCTATAGTCAGAGACCTCGTATGAACCCATGCTCCTACATAACAATAATCTAATGCCCTCTCCCGGCCTTTTTAACTCCCCTAATCCCCAAGTCCTAGATCCCCAAACCGCCAAGCTCCTAAACCCCAAGCCGCCAAACCCAAGCCCCTAACCCCCAACCCCCCCGAACCCTCAGCCCTAAAGCCGGGTCCTGAGGACCCTTGACAGTCGTAACCCTAGAGCCTTAGAGGTCTAGACTTTAGACTTCCCATCGTTTGTCTTACGGGCCCTTTGGGCTTCGGGATGTAGGGTTTAAGGGTGTAGGAGTTTAGGATTTAGGGTTCAGGTCGCGAGGATGTTACCGAGCACTGATTGAATTACCATCATGCTGAAGCCATCCCTTCTGTTGCGCTCCATGCGTTCCTATGATCTTAGCTTGGCAACTTGTCTGCGCGTGGAGGTCTCTGTCACCATTCAGACGAGCATGGAAATGGCCTTGTTTGCGGTGCTGAAGATGGATCCGTGCGGGTGAGCAACTTGTCAACGGTCTTCGATGTGGGCTCCGGTGTGTAGTTTAGGATTTAGCGTACGTTAACAAGTTATTCTAGTCTAGGCACTAAACCATGGGGTTGACCAAACCTGTTTTGCCGGGCATGGACTGCAGCGCATGATAGGGAGGAGTGTATAGTGTGGGTTCCGAACACGCAAGTGGTCTGAACAGTTAGCAATGCTATCTCTTCATGATCCCTACCAGAATACCCCAAAGCCCAATTCCAGAAAATTGCCCCAAGAGCGCCAAACCCTCTAGGACTTTGTAACAACTCACAAAAGGCAGCATCAAGCTTTGGTTCATTCCTACTCCTTTACTCGGAATCAGACCCGACATTCTGGCAACACCCCAACTAGTGCTCCGGCCGCTACAGGAGGATCCGAACAGGCAAGCCTTCCGGGTACCATAGGGGCCTAGCTAATTGCCAGGGGTTCCTGATTCGATTTGTAGAATAATATACCTCGAACCCCATTCTATTTATCAAGGCCTCTACAGTAAACCTTCCGGCTTTTGGTTTGGGTTTTAGGTTTGGGGTTCACGGTTCAGGGTTTTTGGTTTAGGCTTCAGGGCTTTGATGTTCAGCATAGCTGTCCCCAAACGGCAGGCGTTTTGGTCAGGATCTCTTATTTGTAGGAGGCTTTTCTCTTACACGGATCTTTTCAACAGCTTCTTTTGAGTCTTGTGCCTTGAACTTCTAAGAACCCCTCAAACCAAACCTGCAAAACCACCCATAAGCCCCCGCATCCCAAATCCAGGATCCTTTGAACAAAAATACCTCGTTTTCGCACCTTCATCATGAATCACACAGAATCCCAGAGTTTTCAATCAAGACCCTCTAACCCTGAACCTAACCCCCTACACCAAGCCAGAAACCCCCAAAGCTCAAAACCCTGAATTCCTGAACACTACGTTCTAAAGCCTGAAAACCCGAAACCACAGCCAGCAACACCCAGAGATGCGAGCCCTGACATGCTAAGCCTTCAATGACAAAATCTCAAAGGTCCAAGTACTTAATAATCATATACTCCCCAAAATCTTAACCTACATAACTACTATCCTAAAACAGAGTACCTAATTATTGGGTCCTTTGGACCCTTGCGGAAAAGCAAGCCTCACGCTGTAGAGTCCCTGGACCAACCACACCAAAGCAGCTAGAAAACAAAGCCACGAAACGCCTTCACCCCTAAACCCTAAAAGGCCTTAATTAAACCCTAGACCCTAAGCCCTAAATGGCTCTGGACCCTGAACTTAACCCAGGAAGGCTTTTGGTGGACCGTCAAGAGCCATGGCAGCTCGATGGCAAGGACATGCTCGTCCAGACATCTGCAGGCCGGGTTGAACTCCGTCAGAGGGTTAAGGTTCTCACGCAGGGCTTTGTAAGCCTTTGAGTGATGGGCTTGCCTGAACCGTAAACCCTAAGCCAAACCAAACTTTAAACAACAAAAACTAAACGCTAAACCCCCAAACCCTGAGAGCGTTTGCTGTTTTGTGTGTTGGACCCTAAACCCTAAACCCTAAACCCCTAAACCCTAAACCCTAAACCCCTAAACCCTAAACCCTAAACCGTGGCTCTGCTGTCGCACCGGTCGTGAGTTGGCAATCGACGCTTCTGCAGGATAAGGCTGTTTAAAGCAGTTTCCAAGCCCTAGAACCCTAGATCCTAAACCCTCAACCTTAAACCTCCAATCCTCCCCTCATTGAGGCTCTCCATGCACTGGAAAAAGGTCCCCACAACAAAAAAACTTCAAATCCTGAACCCTGAATCCTAAAAGGACAGTTCTTCGTGCCAGGATCAAACTGCTTCAAGGACGCAGAAGGCTTTTGATTACGATCTCCCTAGACGGACCCAGAGAACCCAATACCCCTTAATTAAGGAATATAGCTTAAATCACAATATGAAGCCCTACATAATTTAAGCCATATTCCTTAATTAAGGAGTATTGAGCTCTCTGGGGAAGGAGGTGTACTTCTAGTGGCAACTCTTTTAGAAGGACCTTTGGAACAGCCCCTGAGGATGAAACTGTAAACCCCGAAATGGGAGTTTCCAAAAATGGGGGTGCCTTATTTTGGGGTCCTTATAATAGGGATCCTACTATTTAGGGTCGTATATGTTATTTTGGGGTCCTTCTAGTAGGGATCCTACTATTTAGGGTCGTATATTAGGTCCCCCCCCCCCCCCGAAATCCGTCCGTCGACCCTGTGGCTGGAAGCGCTGCACCCTGAAACTGCAAAGAACTACATAGCCATATGGGTAGTTGTCAAAATTAAGGCCCTTTGTTGGGTACCCTAAATAATAGGTGCCGTGTTTTAATAGGGACCCAAAAAGGGACCATAATTTTGACAACCACCCATATAGCCTGAAATTAGGAAGTTGCAAGGCTTTAGCGATTTTAGCCCTACATTCCGTCAGCCCAGAAGCCCGAAGTTCGAGCCGAAAGCCCCCCAAGTCTCCGCTGCAGGTTCTGACCTGGTGGCATACGACAATCTCAAGCTTCTTGGACGTCGTCCCCAGAGAACCCAGTACCCCTTAATTAAGGAATGTAGCTTAAATCAGTCATATTATGAAGCCCTATATAATTTAAGCCATATTCCTTAATTAAGGGGTATTATGGGCTCTCTGGTTCGGGTTCAGGGTTTCTTCATCTAGCCGCGGCTCTTTTTGCAGGCGAGGCTCAGTACTGAGGACTTAGGATGCTAGGACAAACTAGGGTCTGTATTCAGAACTGCGTCTTTGTCATTAAGGATCCATGTACCCAGTATATACTTTGGCCAGAAAGTAGTCCCTATATAGATACTTTGGGGCCAAAGTATGAAAAAATTGGGTACATGGACCCTTACTTAAAGGATCACGGGACTTTGTAAGTATGGTTATAAGTACCTTTAGTGGGGTTATAAGTACCCTAGTAATAACCCCAGTTACTAAGTCCCATGATCCTCCAAGTAGGGTTTGGGGGGCTCGCATGTCTCCGGCTTTCGTGTTTCGGGAGTTGCGCAGGGCTTCTGGGTACGAGGGTATAATATGCAAATCCTAATTGCTAATGTTTGCACCCTCAGAGTACCCTGATAAACACCTTAAACCGGTTCCTGAACCCTGCAAACTGAACCCTGAGAGTAGTTGCTCTTTGCCCTAAAGCACTTAAAGCCTTATGCGGTGGTCTTTCGGCCCAAAAGCATTCAGCGATGAGTCCTGTGAGCCTCTAGGTAAAAGAATCTCACGGATCCATGTAGTACTCTGGAACTAACAAATCTTAAGGTATCTCTATAAGGGTTCCATAATTTGGTTTAATGTGAGGGATCTATAGGCGTTCTATAATAGGGGTTCCCTTTGAAGGAGCCGTGTACTCTGAAACTAACAAACCTTAAAAGCCTCGGTTTGTCGGCACCTTGCGAGTCTTGGTTTCGGGTTCAGGGTTTAGGGCTGCGGCTTGGGATTTACAGAGGTTAGGTGTTTGGCTTTAGGGTTCCGGGGGAATGGGGGTTTAGGTGTTTTGGGTTTGGGCTTCAGGGTTTGTGCTCTTCGCATGGTGTACCCACGCCCCCGGACCTTTCGATATCCATGTGGGAGTTTCCGAAAATTAGGGTACTTTATGTTGGGGTCCTTGCAATTAGGATCCTACTATTTAGGGTACTATATTAGGGTCCCCTATTTTTCGGGAACTCCCATATGCTCAGTAGTGGTTCATGAGGCCTCTGAAGTGTCGTGGTAGGGCTGCAGTGATTGACTTTCGACACTCTTTGAGCTTGCATGAAGATCGGAAGCAGCCGGTTGCCTGTTGCATTTTGCGGCGCAGGTTTTTGCTTGAGCCCGTCTATGAATTGTTGTAAGAACGATAGAGCTGCTGTAGTTTTAGACGTTAGAATTGCTTGAGCAGTTGTCGTGTTGTAACCTGATGATGTTATTCGAGTTGAACGGAAGACCTGGCTTTGTTGATTTAAGGGATGTTCAGCGAATATGCGAACCCTGACCGACGGTAAGAAAGAAGGATCCCGGAAAGGGGGTCCTAAATCAGTGGAAACCCTCACAAGGTCTGGCTTATTGTTTGAGGTTACGGTTACAAGCTGTTTTAAATTTCAGTTCAAGCAAATCAACCCACAGCTTGACAATAATGTGCAGAGGATAGTGGTTTTGAGTTTTTTAGTATCGTGTATGATAGTACAACGAAGTATATTGTAGTATATGGCAGTGTAATATGGGGCAATTCCTGGGCTTTGTGGCGTTTCGAAGAGACAGCTTGCTGTCGTGGCGGCGCCCTGCACAACCCAAAACTGCTAGAGTTTAGACAGCGGCTAGACGAATGCCTCCTGTCAATGGAGCGCGGTATCCGCATGCTTCCTGCATTTATAAAGTCGATGCGTGCATGGGCGGCAGAACATACTCTTCCGCTGCAAAAATATTCTTAGTCGCAGTAAAAAACTACATGTTACGTCGTCATGCCATATGCTCGGAAATGTAATTGCATTTGAGGGAACTGGGTGTTGATTGGTTGGATTCAGCTTCATACATCACGCACAACATTCTAGTTATGATGTTGATGATGTTGTCCTGAAAGTAGTTGAACTCGCGTCCTCTGGCTGAAAGTAGTGTTAAATTCATTCTTACACATTGCATTGAGTTTCACATAGTGCCAGCCCGCAAATCAGTATGAAGTCCAAGCTCTAGTTGTGGGGTTCATTTTCCTGATGTATGCGTATGCAACAAAACTTCAGAAGAGCAAACCGGGTTTCAGCCCGGAGTGCTCAACATAAAATAACGATTGTAATGCGAATCCTACGTGGATGTTCAGTGCCTTTTTAGCTATACTAGCATTTCTCCGATTATTGATTGTTAGTATGAACGTGGAGGTCGAAATCTGACAGTACGCCGCCGAAACTTTCGGTTAAGAGATTGCAATACGTGCTCATGCGGTGCTATATACTGAAAGCGAACATCATTGGTTTGTTCACCGGCGGCCTACATTACGGAATTGGAGTCCGAGCGTGTGCAGTTCACAGGTCACGGGTTGGCGAAACAAAGGCCGTCGCAACAACCCCGATGTTAATTAATCTCCAGAGCGAGCCGGCTTTAGCGCGTAATCCCTTAATTCCAATATCATTGCTTTGTGTGTTGGGCTCCGATCCTATAGACACATACCCAAAGCCCTAGCCCTCACGACCTGAGGATTGATATTTTATGGCTTTACGGTCCAAAACGCGTTCTTTTACATAGGTTGTCTTGAGGCTGTTTCGATCATGTTCGGATACGAATCTGGGGGCTTCGGGATCCAAGCACACGGATCCAAGTTCCTACCTAAAGTAGTATAGTGTTTGTATCTTCTTTCAGCGTATAATGGGGGTGTCAGTATACGTGGAGTAACACAGAAACTTGTGTCATATCACTTGTACCTGCCTCAAACACACATACAGACTTCATGGAGATTTCCTCTAGGGCCGTCATGCATGCACGCATGTACGCACGTGAATATGTAATTACATGTGTACGCATGTATGCATGTATGTATGTAAAGGTAATCATGTACGTGTGCAGGTCTGTATGTATGCTCATAACTGTTCATGTGTGCATGCAAGTATGATCCTCTATGTATGTATGCCTGTTGTTTCTTGGTTTGTCTGTTTCACTACGCGAAAAAAACATAGTCAGTAAGTCTGTGCAAATGTAGCAAGTAAGCATGTGTGTCCGTCCGTCTGTATGAACGTATGTATGTGTATATGATATGCATGTATGTATGCATGATTGCATGCATGTAAGTATGTAAGTGTGCAACTATGAATGAGGTATGTATGTACGTACGTATGTGTGTATGTCTGTATTGTACATATATAAGTAGATGTGTGTGTGTGTGTGTGTGTGTGCGCGAATGCGGGTGCATGACTGTATGTTTGCAGGTAGTTGTGCATGATGCATGTCAGCATATATGTGTGTACGGCAGTATATACGTATGTCGGTATATCGATGTTTATAGTTTATATGTGTATATGTATATGCAATTATGCATGTGTGTATGTATACATATGTGTGTGAGTGTCAATATATACATATATATATATATACACATACATATATACATATATGTGTATATTTATTTATTTACCCATATCTGTTTATATGCAGCTTTCATACAGTTGTCTCATCATGTACATGTAACTTTCAAAGGCTCCGCGGTTGGCCCGTGGTGGTCGTGGAGGGGGAAGTCTTTGACATGAGGCTGGCTTTCATTGTTTAGTAACTAACTATTCTTGAAAATTTCACGACATTATTTAAGTAGCTTGAGCAGTAACAGAACACATTGAACCCAAAGCTCACGTGATTAGTATTTCAGTCTTTTGGCATTACTGTCCTGGTTGGACTTTTCTGAGTCCGCTCGAGGGTTCTCGGGTATCAGATTCCTGGCTTCGGGGTCCGAGAATGAGAGAGGAGTCTTTCGGGTTTCGGGGTGTTTCGGGTGTAGGGTTTTGTCTTGGGTAGAGTTGAGTCTCGAGTAATATAGAGTCTGGGGTAATTAGTGTTAATAAAATGACACGGATACCTTTACCCAGTGCTCCTTGTTATGATAACTGTACTCTAGTATACCCCAAAACCCTGTTCGAATAATTCAATCCTCTGTCGTAACGTGCTTTTGAAACTGATTGCATGCACTGAGCGGATTCCCGAATATGCGGGGTGACTTTCAGAGGTTCTGTAGGGGTTTCATAAGCGTCCTTAGGGGTTCTGTTGAGGTCCCTTAGTGGAGTTTGGAGTTGAGGACGTGCTGTTTGAGATTCCTTGATTAAGGGTAAGCAAAGTTCCTATGTTGTTGTCAGTGTCTACTGGAGTGGCTGTGTTGTTCCTCAGAACCAGGATATTGCAAGGTTTTGTGGGTTTATGCCGTGCATATACAGCCACCTTTTTGAGCTGCTTGATGGTTTTTTACCTTACCTTACAGTCACCTTGATGGCAGAGGATCCAGTCAACTAGGAAGCTGATTTGCAACCGTGCGCCCATCCTCCAAAGACTCTGACAACTGGTTCCTGGAACCCCTGACCTGTAACAATTGGTCTAAACTCTAAACCGACCTTAAAACCAAACGAACCGAGACCCTAGTCAAATCATTATTATTAGTATTATTAGTATTAGTATTGTATTATTATTTAGGCCCGTACATTAGACAGCTCACATTGCCTGGAGGGTGGACGACCCCAACGACTTCCAGCGGTTATCGTTCCAGTACTCCATGCGCAACTACGTCGTGGAGGACTTCTTGTTTCTTCATCTGTCTGGTGCTTAGTAGGGAATGGGGGAATGGTTTAAGGGGACTAGTTTTGGGGGATTTTCTAGGGACTACGATAGAAATAGGGATCCATTCCCGAATTCCCTACTAAGCACCAGACACTCATCTCCAGGGTCGGGGCAACTGAGCTCCAAAAACCCGAACCCTCGAGCTAGCAAGTTGAGGAGCTCGGGGTTCCTAGGGCCAAGGCGTGCGAAGCAGCGCACCACCTGAACAGCACAGCTTAGACGACCGTATCCAGATCCTATACTTGGAGGTTCATGGGAAGTCATATATAAGTGGGGGACATTATGACTCCCCGCATACGGGGTATAACTTTTGTTAAATTATCCTAATTAAACCCCTACTTAGAACTACCCATGAGCCCTGAACCCTATACCCTTATCGAATCCCGATGGACCTCTTTATATAAAGGGCCCCTATAAACCGACTTATAACTACCCATGAACCTCCAAGTACCCAGGGGCTCCATAGTAGTTCCTTTTTGGGATTACCTTATAGAATTTTTTGTATGAGCCCCCAAAAGGAACCACTATGGAGCCTTAGGGTAGAGATCTGGCCCAGGAGCATGGCTACCTCTACACCCGCGCACTCCCCCGGAGCGAGGCCCTAAAGGGGGGCATTGAGTTTGATTGTTTAGGATTTAGGGTTAAGGTGTTTAGGGTTAAGGTGCTTAGAGTTTAGGGTTTAGGGTTCAGGTGTTTGGCATGTGTTGCGCCGTTTTTCGCAGTGGTGATGGTGATGACGACGATGATGATGTTGTTGTTGATGTTTTTGCTAATGGTGTGAATGTTGTTTCTGCTGCAGCTGCAACTGGTGCCGCTGGAGCTGCCTTTGCCGCTTCGGCTGCGGCGAGGTTGGAGTGGCTGTTGCTGTGTGATTGTGGTTGTGGTTTGTTGTTGCTGTTGCTGCTGCGGTTGTCGCTGTTGCCTTTTCGGCAGTACGTTTCGTATCAACTTCAACTTCGTTATGTGGAGGCCATCATGGTGCACGTGAACTTTACCGATTGGTCGGCACCCCATGTTCTGCGCAGCCGTGAAGGTTTGTGCTTGCGGATTAGGCTTTGGGCTGTGAGCTTCGTCTGGCTTTTTGGGGGTCTTGTCGGCTTCAAAGCAGGAGTTTGGGGTTTTGGGGTTCAGGTGTAGCGGAGACTACAAGTAGTCCCTCTGGAGATTCGGCACTGGCGCTTCTGGGGCCAAGAATCTTACCTTTTGTGTCCAGGGCTAGCAGTTACCAACCCAAATCACCACGATCCACAACCCCAACGATTTGGGGGTTTGGGATTTCTCTTGTACAGGCCTGAACCATCAGCAGTAGTAGTGTCCCGACAAAATTTTACTGCGCACCCAAACCCGTATATAATCGCAGAGCCCCGTATATGTACAACCCAAACCAGCCTGTCTCGAAGCGAGAATACAACCCCTTATCGAGCTCTTAATTGAACTCCTGTAAACGGCGAACGGAAAGCTGAAGACCTATCTTTCTAAGTTTTTAAGTGGTATGCATGTTTACTTTTGTCTTCGTGGGTTCCTATGATGCGTTTCCCAGTGGGCTACTGAACAGCCTGCCTTAAGCCACCATAACATCCTTTTTCGCTGGTTCTTATAGTAAACCCTAACATAGTGGCACTGGCAAGCAGTCGGGTTTGGCGGTACAAGCTAGTCTAACCACGTGGCTAAGGCGGAACCATTTCGATGCCACGGAGGGTCTCCGGTTGGATCGCATGCCCAGCACAGAGGACGCAAGCTTTCTGGTTTCACCCTTTGGTTCGGGGGTTTTGGGAGATCGAGCAGATCCGTGGCCGAAAGAAGTTAGCTATGGTTTAGGGGTTTAGGGTTTATAATGTTGCAAGAGTGCAGAAGGTCCAGCCTTGTCTTGTACATGTAATGCATCTTGCCCACAAGGCGCTCATTTCTCTAAAGCGACTGGGTGGGCGGCCTTGGTACAAAGAAGTCACTTGCACTCTCGGGTTTCGTGTCCCCGGAAGAAGCTAGGATTTTGAGGAATATTGAAACAGTTCAAAGAGCATTAGTTGGTTTGCCTGTGTTATCCTCAGAATAAAGCCCCGAAGACCCTCGTCGAATCTAATCAGACTGCCAAAGATTGAAAAGGTTTGAGTTTTCCGGCATTCGAAGAAACTGGACCCGCCGGGTCCTGTGGTTGTTTGGTTCTGGTTCTCATGGGGTTTACCTAGTTTAGAGTAGGTAACCTTTGACCTTCTTTGGGTAGTGTAGTCCCTATATAATCCCTATATGGGAGTTTCCGAAAATAGGGGCCCCTAAAATAGTACACTAAATAGTAGGATCCTCATTATCGGGACCCCAAAATAAGGTACCCCCAATTTTCGGAAACTGCCATATAACCAAAAAGGTTAACCTTTAGTGCCCCATGATACCCGACAAGTAGGTTTAGGACTAGGAGTAGAGAGTGCATCATGGCTGGCTGGTTCTCGGCATGCAGGATTACGGGTTAAGGCCTAGGGTTTAGGGTTTGGGGGTTTAGGGTTTAGGGTTGTTATAGGATCGAAGGTCAGGTCTCAGCCATTTCTTAGAGGCGGAAACCCCGAACCCGAAGACCTTCAAACAGGAGAGCCAAGACTTTAATGACCCAAACTGAAACTGTTCATGGCTGTCGGCTCCTAGACGCCGAAACCCTAAGCCCTGAGCTGGAACCGGAAACCCCAAACCCCGGTTGCTGGCGAGCCAAAGTCGGCACGATGCAGAGCGGAGCGACAGAGAAGTGGTGGACGAAGAAGTGGGGCAAACGAGGGCGATGGACCCTAAACCTAGGCTATAAACCCGAAACCAAGACTCTGAAGTTCCGCGCTCCGCGCCTTATTGCCAAGAGTCCTATGCCCCCCCAAAGCTGAAACTGTAGCCTAATCTACACCTCAGCCGTACATAACGCCCAGAGTTGGAACCCCAAGTACAACCCGATAAACCTGCAAAGCCTGCGAAAAGCCGGTAAAGCCCTCGAAATGCCTATATAAAGGCTTCTTATTATGAAGCTCCTATAGAACGCTATAGGACCCTAACTCACCATCTTGATCCTTACATACCCCAAGGTTGCTGGTAATCATGTCATTAGAGCAGGGTTTCGGGGTATTGGGATGCTAACGGGATACGGTTTTGAGACTACGTAATATATGAGCCTAAATACTTACCCATGCTAAGTTGAGGGGCTCTCTATACTATAATATAGCACGAAACCCTGTTCTAATTAGTAGGGTTTAGGGTTTAGGGTTTAGGGAGCCCCTACATGATTCACTGCGCCAGGACCCATTTGGGTCCCACTCGATGATGCTTTGGCCTGACGAATGTGCGGAGTTTAACCTCACAGAGGACTCTGCCGAGCTTTGCGGCGTGCGACTCGCCCCGACTGGAATCGCAAAATTTTCATCATCACCACGATAACAAACTTCTAATACCACTATGACTTTTAGTAACATCAGTGATATCAATAATCATGGTAGTAATACCAACAACAATTTCATTGTCAATAGATACTACTGGCAATGCATAATAGCTATAGTAGTAGTATCCATAGTAATAGCAGTAGTGATAGGAATACAAATCATAGAAATAAAGAGAATACAATCGCCTTGTGGACCCCGATGTAATTGAGCCTTTCAGGCTTCTACATTAGGCCTGTGGGATGCATTCCTGGTCTGGTGGCTTTGGCGTCAGGAAGGTCTCTTAATACGGGTCGAAACTCAGAATGGGCTCCAGGCATTCCTCTGGCATTGCACCTGCACCTGAACCCCCCTACTAACCCCAGCAAAGAAAGCGTAGAGGAACCCTGAAAGGAGCCCCTCAAGTAACCCTCAAAGGAACCTTCAACGGACCTAAGCTGTAAAGCCGAGGTATGTCAATGAGACTGGCGAGGACCTGAAGGAGGAGATCGACGAGCAGCCTGAGGTGAAGAGCTTTGAGTTTTGGGCCTTAGTAATTATGATAGGGTTTGGGAGCATATAATACCCTAAATATTTTAAGGGACTCCCCCAAAACCCTATTTTAATGATTAAGGCCCCACAGTAGAGTTTCGGGGCTTAGGTTTAGGGATTATGGGGCTTAGGGTGTAGATTTTCGGGTTCGGGGCTTATGGAGCTTCCGGTTTGGGGTTTAGCGATTCGGCCTTGAGTTTGGTTTAAGGGTTGTCTTCAAGGGTTTGTCTGAGGGTTTCGGGTTTACAGTTCTAGGATGCCTAGGGTGTTCCGGTTTGTGGCACGGTTGCGGGTTCAGGGTTCGGAAACCCATGTGAACGGATCTCGATTTATGTATACACATGTACATGATGTGTTTACTTATTTGTTCATTTAAGCATTTGTATACATCTGTATATATATATATATATATATATATGTGTGTGTGTGTGTGTATGGCTTAGATTTGAAATTTCCAGTGTCCCAGTATCCCTAAACCCCAACCCAAGCGTAAAGCGGCTCAAAGACCATTAGGTCAACCGAAGAGCCCTGAACCCCAGGACCGAAGACACAAAGAAAGTCTAGACCGAAACACCTCCGACCCTTGAAGGAACCCTATAACCCTAAACCCGAAGGCCTAAATCCTAAACTCCGACCCCGAAGCCCTGAACCTTAAACCCTGAACCCGAAGCCCTGAACCTAAAAGCCTCCACCGCAAACCCGTAAATTAACCCTGAGCCATCCTCCGCAGGTTGAAAAAAGAAGGCCAAGAATCACTAAACCCAAAGCCCTAAACTTACCTCTGGATACTAGGGAATGGAAGAATGGTCCTTTGATAGTAGTTATGAATCTATTCCTCCATTCCCTACCAAAGGTAAGTAAGCTTGAAACCCGGGTTTAGGAACCCCGGGCATGCGTTTTGGAATCGCGGTGTAGAACTCCGAAAACGTACCCTAAACCCTAAACCCTAAAACCCTAAAACCCTAAACCCTAAACCCTAAAACCCTAAAACCCTAAAACCCTAAAGCCCTAAACCCTAAACCCTAAAACCCTAAACCCTAAACCCCAAACCCTAAACCCTAAACCCTAAAACCCTAAACCCTAAACCCTAAAACCCTAAAACCCTAAACCCTAAAAACCCTTTTTCAGATTGATATGGTCCACGGCCGCTTGACGGCCTCCTTCTCTGTGCAGGCGCAAGGGCTGCAAAGCGAATTTTACGCGGAGAGGTATAGGATTTGGGGTTTAGGGCTTTAAGGTTTCAGGGTTTAGGGTTTTACATAGGGTTTTGGGGTTCAGTTTTTGGTTCAGGGTTTTCGGGTTTTGGTAGGGTTCAGGGTTTAGGGTACTTGGAGGTTCATGGGTAGTTATAAGTAGGGTTATAAGTCCCCTAATATGGGGTATAACTATAGTTATCCTACTTATATCCCTACTTCTAACTACCCATGAACCCTTAACCCTATACCCTCATCGAATCCCTACAAATCCCTTTCAAGGACCCCTATAAGCCCTACTTCTCTCTGCCCACGAACCTCCAAGCAGCGTTCATCGTTTAGGCTTACAGTAGAAGCCAGAAAGTTGGAACATGGCTTTAGGAGGATTAGTGCTAGGATCCCTTATACTTTACCTTAAGGGCATGAGGAGTCTGATGTTCCAACTTTCTGATCATTATCGTAACCCCTTTAAGGTAAATTATAGGGGATCCTACCATGAATCCATATTCCAACTTTCTGGAGTTCCCTTTAGAGGCTCGGGCCTGGGCCTGTCTGATCAATCCCTGTCGGACTCCATGTGCCCCTTTTTGGGAGTTCCCGAAAATTAGGGGTACCCTTTCTATAAGGGCGCCTTGAGGGGCTCCTGTAAGGGATCTTCGGGGTTTAGGGTTTAGGGTTTGGGAGTTTCCGAAAATTCGGGGTACCTCATTCTGGGGTCCTTAGAATAAGGATCCTATCTATTCAGCGTATTATATCAGGGCCCCCTATTTTCGGAAACTCCCATGTAGAAGGTGCTTAGGCCTGAGAGGGGTCCTTATTAAGTCCCTATATATAGGTACTTTGAGGCCTAAGTCCCTACTATATGGATACATGGAGCCTTTTGGAATTTAGTGGTGATCACAGAGACTCCAGAAATGTACTATCGGGGGGGCCTTAATAATTACTAGTACTCAAAGCGGCGCACATGAATTTCTGTCTGAATGTGTCGAGGAACGCCCGGGACGATTATGTTGGGTTTAGATCATTCTAATTCCCAAAGGCTCCATGTACCTTTATGGTAGATACTTAAGCCTTAAAGGGGTCGCTATATAGGAACTTTAAGGCCTAAGTATATACTATAAGGGCACATGGAGCCTTAGGGATCTAGGTCCATACTTCTGGTGTACGCATGGACTGACCTCAGGAGGCGAGCCGGTCAGGCGTACAAGGAAGCGAGATCACGTGCGGCATCTGATGAAAGAGCACTATTCAAGATGATGACTCTTGAACAGTGCACTGAGCTGATCTGCGAGATGGGCAAGAGTGGCGCCGGAATTGTTACAGCCGGAGTACCTGACCCTCTGGTTGACGTGACATCAGGCTTGCTCGCTGACATGATGGCATCAAGAAAGAAGATGGGAGAGGAGGAAATGAAGCTCGTCACCCGTGCAGCCGACTGGGCCAGGCACGTATGGGGCAAGCCTGGCCATAAGGGTGCAGTCTGGATCGGCTATGTTTGTCCCTCTTGCCACAAGATCCCTGACCGTGAGACCTCCTGGTGGGTCGTCAGCGGGATTCGAAAAGCCTTGTTGTTGACAGGTCCCTAGGGGGACAGTATACCTGTAGGTATAGACGGTAGTGGGGACTTCGTGAACGAGCAGGTTGTGGTAGGTTAAGGCAGGTAAGCCTTAAAGGGCTTTGATATCAACATGCTAGTTGCTGATTCCTCAACCTAGCATAAGACTCGCTTCAAGCCGCTCGCATAGCTGTGCTTGGCCTGGCCTTGGCAACTGCCTGTCTGCCCGAGACCGCCCTGAACAATAAACCCTATACCCTTAGGCCCAAAACCCCGAAAGCCCGAAAAGGACCCAAAACCTTAAATCCTAAGCCCCTAAACACTGGTTCCCTAAGCACCCAACCGCCGGCATGCATCAGGTTATCGATACCAACGGAAGTTACGAAGCTGGTCCAGACACTCCCACAGGCAGCTGGGGTTTAGGGTTCAGGGCTTAGGATTCAGCGGTTTAGCTTTCAAATCCCTAAACCGTAGAACCCTAAACACTAGAAGTCGTAAACTCCAAACCTATGAAACCCCAAACTCCAGTATGCAGGGTTCCGGTTTGGTCAAGGGCATTGAGAGATTTATGCTTCAGATTTTTGCGGTCTACTCGGTAGGAATTTCGGGTTTCGTATGTGGTTTGGGGGGTTTCGGTTTGCTGTGTCGGGTTTGGTGTTTGAGATCTTCAAAAGAGTTGCCTTAGGGTTCATGGTTTCGGGTTTATTTAGCGAGGTCCTTTGGAAGGTTTCTGGGTGCTTGGGTGTCGGAATCGTTTGCTTAGATAGTGAACCGGGGAACTTTAAAGTTTTTGGCCTTAGATATTAGCTCCATCTTGGAAAGTTTGAACTTTTTGGGGCCTGGCTGTTGAAGAAGAGAGTTTATGTTAGTTCTTAGCTGGCGGTAGCTGCGGGTTTAGGCTTTAGATTGCTAGCGAAGGTACATGGTACAGTGGAGCACTTGACCTTTGGAGCCGTTTTTAGGGTGTAGGGTTTAGGGTTTAGCCCCGAACCCCATGGCATGTAACCCAAGGTTAGAGTTTTTGGCGTCCGGTCTCTAGGGGACCAGAATTGCACCCTGAATGCACAAAGGACTTATTCGTCCACTGGTGAATCTGCAGACATTACATATTATAAGCCTATAGAAACCCATAGACGTAAGACTAGACTTCAAAACGCTCGAAACAACAGAAGAGCCTAAAATCCGCTGAAAGGAGCAGCCATCAATCCTAAAGTCCTAAACTTAACATGCCCTGGTCTCCTCAAACATGGCTCTGTCTTCTTCAGAACCCTAAACCCGAAACCCAAAACCCTAAACCCTAACTATATGAAGGGGTTGAAGAACAAGCCAGCGGAAGCCTCTCTTCCTCTTACATAGTAGCTGGGTAGGTGGCCTTTAACCGTAACCTTTTGGGGTTCATATAACCGTACAATTAATTGAAAAGCTTAACCTTTTCTGCGCTAGGGTACGCAGCCTCTGAGTCGTGCTTGTATTTGGACCTCTACATGAGGTTTGCTTTCTCTGAACAACCCCTATATGAAGCTGCACCCTCTCCAAAAACCGCAACATATGCGGCTTTCCTTCTTTGCTCTAAATGGACGCGGAAAACCAAAACCTGAACCCGAGAAAGTCGTGGACGCCCGAGACACTAAACGACTAGATCCTGAACCCTAGACCACTACGGTCCAAACCTTGAACCCTATCAGCAGTATGGTTTGAGGTTCGGATATGCCTTGATCCCCAAATCCCGTTTCGGAAAGGGCCCCATTATAATCGCTATGATGCAGATGATTTCTTGTTTAATTATTGGCTTACTGCTATTGCAATTCTGTTTTATTGTAGTTTATGTGGCAGTCTTATTGGTTATGGTGTTCCGTTTGGCATTATCCTGATGATGCTGCTGCTGCTGCTGCTGCTGCTAATGATGGTCATGATTAGTATTGTTATTTATGTCAGTATCATTCGTCTTATTTTTCCTATTATTTGTGCTGTTGTTGTTTTCTTATTAATTCTTGAGCCTTGTGTTTTGCCGGAGGCCAGCTCCGGCAAGAGTTCATCCCGAGAGAATGCCCCGTGCTGGGCTGCAAGCGTCCAGATTCTGCAACCTGGCTCAGGGTCTACCCACCCAGACCCTCCAAAATCCCTTAATTAAGGAATATACCTTAAATCATATTCGGGACTCTATTATAATTTAAGGTATATTCCTTAATTAAGGGATTTTGGAAGGTCTGGGCATAGGCCTCATAGTAGCTCCTTTTGGGGATTACCTCATAAGGTTCTAAATATGAAACCCCAAAAGGAACTACTTGGGGCCTTAGAGTAGCTTATAGGGTCAAGGGTCCGTTTGAGTTTTGGGGTTCAGGGTTTGGGGTGCAAGGCTTAGGACTTAGTTGTAGTTCTTTCAGCTTAGGGGATAACTACCGCCAGGATTGGCATCAGAGTCACTGGGACCTCAGGTTGAAGTTAGAAGGGGCCCCCACCCTGTAATAGTGACTATAAGGATTATACTAGGGCCCTATTTGTATTCCTATTATACCACTATTACAGGGTGGGGGCCCCTTCTAAGGTTAAAGGTTACGGCTTGGGGCTGCTTGGTTTTGAATTTAAGGTTCATGGTTTTGGGAGCGGGGCTGAATCTAGCTTATCTATGGGTAAAAGGAGGGACCCTTAATAAGGACCACTAGGTATATACCCTTAATATAGGTATTATATACTCGTTATATAGCCCATTATAGGGTAGGGTTCCCCATTAAGGGTCCCTCCTTTTCCCCTTTGAGTTTAGGTCGTTCAGTCTGGTTGCTGTCACAGTACAATAAACCCTCAAAGCCACATACTTTCCCCAATGGTTTACTGATTGGCCTGGATATAATCGAACGTAGCAAGTTTTGAAATACAAAAACAGACGTATCTACTTGGTGCTTGAGTTAAGAATATTTCATACGTACGCGTGTAGTATTGAATCCAGGGCGCGAGGGCGCCTGAATATGAATGAAGACTTTAGTTTCGGCGACACCGTAAACCCAAAACCTGCAAAACCCTATAAATGTACGTCGGTGATGGTGGTAATTGAATCTTAGGGTCCAGCGCTAAGGCTTTTGGGCTTCAAGGTTTAAGTGCAGGCGTCTGGCGATAACACTTCATACAAGCCTGGATAATTAACAGTGCTATTTCTTATAGGGTTCCCGAGTATGCTGTTACTATAATTTACATCAGAGCCCCATTCTAATCATTCAAGCCTTTGTCTGACGCTCATGTTGGATTGTGCATTTGCGGGTTCGAGGCTCCATCCACTAGGACCTGGAGTAGGCCCTTATTCCCTTTTTTTAGGGTTCAGGTCCCCTTATAAGCCCCTTTAAACCAAAAAGGGCACCCTTTTTGTTCCTAGGTTACTCTTGGGTCTAGTCCACCTGTAACGGCCTTTGCACCCGAAGCCCTAAACCCAAGACCCACCCGACACCTGTAATCCCTAAACCCTTCAACCCTCGACCCCTAAACCCCTAAACCTTAAACGCCTTAATTAAGCCCGCAGCCTATAAACCCTAAACCCCTCAACCCGACACCCCTAATGCCAAACCCTAATCCTCAAAACCCTGACTTCAAGCTCCGAACATGTAGTCTGTGTCGGGCCTAAGTGGGTCTCCCAGTGCACGGTTCACCTTCTTGGAGGGTCGGGGGACTTGGTAACTGGTTATTTTAGGGACTTATAAGTACAATAACCCCAATTAGGGTCCCTTTTAGGGTACTTATAAGTCTACTTACTACCTACTTACCAAGTCCCCCGACCTTCCAAGTTCTCTACGGGTGCCATATGCTGCACGCTATTCAAGGCTACTTGCTGCCCGCTCTTACGATGCGACAATGGCACATAAGCACTGCACTCTGCTGACGAAGGTCCCTCACTTGCAAACGGCTGCCACGGTCCGTCTTTTTCTACGTTGCTATGGACCCGTTGATATGTCGTCTCCCCCGGATCCCCGGGTCAGGATGCTCAAAGCTTACATGGATGACAACTCCACCGCGGGGCAGGGGGTCCAGTGGGTTGCCCAAGTCCAGCAGCGATTTTATTGAGCTTCGCTCGGCTGGCTTTCATGTGCTCACGCATGAGTGCTTCCGGGGTCGGGCGGTCGAATCCCGCCTGCCTATTTGTGGGGAGGTCCCTCAGCTGCTGACTTTTATCATATTGGAAACGATGAGCATCCTGCTTGCTGTGCTCCACGGCAGCCATGTCTGCAGCGCCATCCCAGCTTCGCCCTACCTGGACCCTATAAAGTAGCCTTCCTTTTAAGGGTTCCCTATTATGATTTATTTTCCTTAAAGAAGTCCTTAAAAAAGTAGGTTATCTGGGGTCCAGGTAACCATAAGCCCTTAAGCTGAAGTTTACAGGTAGCCGTTTGTCCTAATGATCCCATGCATGCGTGAAGAAGCTACCCAAACCCTAAGCCTTAAATCCTCGACTACTTCCCTCAGTCCTAAAATTAGTCCCTGAACCCGAATCCCAATCTTCTTATCCCATCTGCCCAGAGAGCCCAATACCCCTTAATTAAGGAATATGGCTTAAACCATAATATAAATTCTAAGCCATATATAATTTAAGCCATACCCCTTAATTGAGGGGCTCTCCGGGTGACCCTAAGCCCTAAATTGAGGCTCCATCCACCTTTAACTGCCTTTGCACCCCAAGCCACCTGCAATCCCTAAGCCCATAATTTTACCCTAGAGCCCTAAACCCTAAACCCTAAACGCCTTAACCCCAAACCCTAAACCCCTAAACCCTAAACCCCTCAACCCGACACCCCTAATCCCAAACCGTAATCCTCAAAACCCTAAACCCTAAACCCCTAGGACGCTTCATGCAGACTGAAAAAGGGCCCTTAAACAAAACAAAAAAGACTGAACCGGTTGAGGCAGATGGGGACTTTAACAAGATCCGCCGCTGGTCAGATCCCAGCGGGTGGCCGGACGGCAGGCTCCTTCCCGAAGGGCTCTGGGCGCTACTTGGAGGTTTAGGGTTTTAGGGTTTTAGGGTTTAGGGTTTTGGGTTTTCGGGTTTAG